GGATGCTTTGTCTCCTAGCGGGAATGATTCAGGAGAAGGGGAACACCCACGGTAAGGACAGAGAAAGACTGATGGAGAAATGGCTCAGAGAAGTCGAGGATTTGGGACCTGGATGGCAAATGCAGCAAACAGTTCCTCCCCAAGGACTACAGGGACAGAAGCCCATCAAAGGAAGTATGTCCTTAATTTGGCAGGCAGGACCTTTTCATGGGAGATAACATGATACAAAAGAAACTGCCTAGCCCCACTTTCGGGGGCCGGGTAGCATTTTATTTTATTTTATTTTATTTTATTTTTGGCACTGGGGATCAAACTTGGGACCTTGCGCTTGTGAGGCAGGTGGCGACACCACTGAACTAAATCTCCAGCCCTGGGTAGCATTTTAAAAGGATTTTTTCCCCCTCAAACCCAAATGAGACCTAGGCATGCAGCAACTTTTTTAACCTCTGCGGCCATAGAAACCAGCACCTCCTCAGCTGCTGAGACCAGGAGTCATAAACCCCTCAGCCTGGGCACACTGATCAAAACCAACAGCCCACGTTCACTCAGAAGCACACCAAAACTGCACGGGAAGTCGAGCCTGCTATCTGAGAGAGAGCACGAGTAGGCATAGGTCTGTCTGACCAACATTAAACACACAGGTAGCTCAAATGAGATGGCCAATGTCCAGGCTCACCTCACCCTACAAGGGGCAAGCCTGCCAATCTCTAGCCAGCAACAGGACACAGCCTCTTGGTGGAAAGATGGTGCCTGTGCTGCCAGACTTCGAAGAACACTGGGGAGTCATGGAAGGGAGGCCGAGTCCTATCACATGGCGAAAGATCTTTCAGCATGAACATCTTGATCTCCTCAGGAGCTTCTTTGGAAGGGGAGAAGATATGAATCATTAATCCAACGAATTGCTCATCCTATGGAACTCAGGGGGAATCGGAGTCTTCAAAGACTACTACTGTTAACGCCAACTGCATTTGAAAAATAAACACAGCGTACAAATCTGTGCTCTTGCCACGCCTTTGGTCTCAGTACAGCTGAGCAGAGCCAGGCAGAGGAGGTACGTGGGGAACCAGCCCCAGCCCCATGCTGGCTTCCTCTGCTGTCTAGAAACAAGTCTATCCTTGGAATCCTGGAGGCCCACGAGAGAAAGCATCACGCTCCTGACCAAGCCTGTACTTTTCACAGCTGGCAGAGGAGGAACCCTCAACCCTGCTTCCTGGCACTGCAGGACCATGACCGTCACTGTGACTTGGCACTCGCCGCTGCCACATCCTGCTACTTCTTGTTCCCCCGTCTCTATGGAGAGCTTCTGAAAGCCTTGGTGATGTCGTATTCACCCGAGTCCCCAGCGCAGTGCACCAAGCCAAGTCCTCGTAGGCCTGCCTGAGTATTTACTGAGCAAGTCAGCGAACTGGGCCAGCCTTCTCCTGTGCAATCTCTCTTCCTGCTGGTAACTGAGTGGTCTCAAAACATGTCCACAGTCTCTGACACTGCTGCCTTCAGAAACGAGAGCCTGTCCGCTCTCCTTGTTGAAGTGACTCATTCCTAATGAAGACAGTGGGGTACAAGTGACACTGTGCTGTCTGAGACCAGGTCATGGGAAGGACGGCCCCTGGCTCTCATTCCCTGAGACTGGGGACAGTAGCCAACTTCCATCTCATGAGGATACTCAAGCAGCCAGGAGAGGCCTCCTGCCACGGCCAGCACCAGCCCGCCTGCTGTGTCACTCACTGCGCAGCTGGAAGCCAAGCTCAGAGCCCAGCGGAGCCTTCAGCTGACCTTGGCCTTGCAACTGATGAGAGTGATCGCGAGCCACCCAGACAGGCCGCTCCAGATTCCCACCCACAGACCCTTCGAGACAACACCACTGGGAACATTTCGTCGGGGTCAGGGGCAACTTATCCTGCAGCAATAGTTAATCAACAGCAACTGCGGAGAACCTGGCTGTTTCAGAAGGGGCTCAAGGAATTTCCTGAATGACAAACTTAATTTATGCTCATGTCAGGCTTACAATAAAAAAATTTGATAATTAGGAGTCTTGTGTAGAACACAACAGTAACATAACTATTAATACGCAAATTCAAATATTCCATGGATCAAATTATGCTGCCTTACATTAACAACTACTTTCAATAATATGTCAGGATATAATACAAAATGCTATTACACAATAATCCTTTTCAGAGCTTTATTTGTAAGAATTATATACTACATGTCTATAGGAAAAAAAGTCTAAGGTCCGGGGATTTACCTCAGTGGTTCCGTCACCTGCCTTGCAAGTGCAAGGTCCCGAGTTCGATCCCTAGTACCAAAAAGCAAACAAACAAACAAAAAGTCTAGAATGATACTCATCAAAATCTTAACAGTACCTTTCGCAGGATGATATAATTTTTTATTATCTTTGTTGTTTTGTTGCTAGTGTTCTATTTTTTAACTTAAAAAAAACTTCCATTAAAAAAAAAACTTTCATAAAGCTTTTATAAAATTAGGTCAGAAGCTATGTCAAATTTCTGGTCGACCTCAAACAATGAGTGACACATAGTAGGTGCTCAATAAGAGTGCAAGAGGAATCTGTGCTGCAGATCTTGCCGCCTGGACAACAGCTCTGGAAGGAGATTCCAGGATAATGTGAGCCCTAAAAGCTCAATGATGTGAAAAAGCAGCAGTCAATTTTTGCAGGAAATAGGCTGCTAAATATAGGAAATCATTTTGTTGTTGTATTCTTGGGACTCACTAACCACTTTCCCCTTTGAAACTAAGTATTTTGAGTGATTTATCATAAATTTATAATGACAGTTGTGAACACCTCTTTCTTCCTTTGGCATCAGAACAAAGTCTGTCGATTGCTTTGGTGCTTAGAATAGTCTCTCAGAGTCCTCATAATAGCCTGTCACCTGTAAACAGGTTTCCAGCCAATGCAAATTAACAAACGGGGAACAGATGGACTAAGAACTGACTTTCGTCAGGAGAGTTAGCAACAAATACCTCTCAGCTCCAGTCTTATGGGACTATCAGAAAGTCTCTCACTTCTCAGCGAACATCTTGCCTCGCAGACAGTACATGCAGGGAAGGCGACAGGCCACAGGCCACCAGACTGGAGAGGGCCACAAGCTGAGCTCTGCAGTCACCACAAGAGCATGTGACAACACAGTGGTGCTTCTTAAGAAGCTTTGTTTCCTTTCCTTTTCTTCTTGAGGCAGGGTCTCACCGTGTAGTGCAGGCTGGCCTTAAACTCACTGTGTAGCCCGGGCTGACCTCAAACTCGCAGTGATCCTCCTGCCTCAGCCTCCCAGGTGCCAGGATTACAGGCATGCTGTTTCCTAAATCAGCTGCTTTTCAAAAAACATGACACCTGTGCGCGCACGCAGCACACAACTTCGCAGAGGTGGGCTGGCTGTTTCTCCTGGGTGCGAAGGAGTGTGAGCGGTGAAGGAAATCTGAGGATCACAGAACGGTGGCAGAAGAGCACCCGCAGGCGGGGGCAGGAGAAAGGGCCACAGGGACCAACATTGGGGGCTCCCACTTCCTGTCCCCTCCTCGCCCCTCAGCCTCAGCCTCAGCCTCAAGCCACCTCCTCACGGAGGCCTCCTCAGCTGCTGCTCCACCTAAGCAGGTTCCTGCTCTCCCACTCCTTACTGCCATTTTTCTTACTTCCAAGCATTCATCACAACTGAAAATTATGCTACTGGTGTATTTAGGGTTTTTTCCCCTGCCTTTAACCTCCACTAAAAATGTGTCAGGATACAGGACCATGTCCATCTTGCTCATGATTATATTCTCAGGGCCTGGAGCTGCCCGACATATACAGCAGTAGGCACAATACCTATTTGCTAACCAAACAGAAAATAAATGAGATCTTCAGCAAAGAGAAATGATCAGATCTTATATGCAAATGCTCTTTTGGGCAGGAAATATAAAAATGCAGTTTGCAATAGGGATGTAAATAAAAGTGAGTTCAAGGGAACAGGATAGGCTAGGAAATGTTCAGCCCTTGGGAGGACAGCCCAAGGAGTTGCACACCAGCAGAAAAGCTGTCAGTGGGGACTGGAACGCTCACATTTCTTACTCCACATCACTGGACAAGTCTTGACACACACCTACTAGATCTTCTACTACAAACAACTCAACAGGGTAACAGATGGACCAATCGTGGCACAGTTAAAGGAATATTAGACAGCAACAAAAAGAACCGATAGCCTGGATGAACCTAGTCGATATTATCTTGAGTGAAAAAAAGATGATATACTTTCCTGGAGGTGCAGCTCAGGGGCAGAACATGTGCTTAGCATGCACAAGGCCCTAAATTTAATCCCCAACCCGAAACAAACCAAGAAACAGACAGACAACAACAAAAAACTGATACAAAAGACGATCTATGGCACAGTTTGTATGAAGTTCAAGGACAGACAATTGTTTCGGGAAGTCATAATAGTGTTCAGTGTAGAGAAGGCGGCAGCACAAGCACAGACTGGGAATGTGAGGGGCCTCTTGGGATTCTGGAAGCGGTGGCTACATGGATGCCCTCGTGTGGAAAAGGCATCAAGCTGTGTGTTCTAGGACCCTCACTGTGTCCAGGACCACTCCTCGTGGGATAAAGAAGAGCACACACATCACCAGTCAAACGCAACAAGCCAGCTGTGCCCTGGGTCTAGCTCTAGTGGACTCCCTAGGTCAACCGCAGCTTATCAAATGTGCTCCTCAGCTGCCTCCTTTGTAGAATACAGACAACGGTCCTCACATCCTGCCAACTTTGGGACTGCATTAAGGAAACAAATATTAAACTATGCAATATCTAAAAATCCTACCAGGTAGGAAAGTCACACACAAAATATATTAACTGCATTATAGCTGCTTTGTAAACATCCATGTAAGTCATGTCACCATCACACCTGGTTTCTGTCCCTACTAGATTCCTTTTTAAAAGAAACATGACTTTCCATGAGCCCCAGACAAGCACACAGGGCGTCCGGCCAGGATGAAAGTGCTTCTCCAAGCCGGTCACTCACTGAGGAGGCAGGACCAGGGTGGTGGGCTGAGCCTTCGGTCTCCGCTTGGCTGACACACCCATCTGATTCGCAGAGCGCTTCAGCGACTGCTGATTCAAAAGGCCCGATGCGAGGCCTGCGTGGTACTGCAACTGCAGGGAAGAAAAGGGGGAAGATGTCATTTGTAAAAGCAGGACAAAAGCACTTCAGCTATTAAGACTCAACCATCTTACCCTGTTACGATATTTTAAGTAACTTCAAATACAGCTACTAACACGCTTCAAAACTTGATTCCTAAATAGGTAACCAGATAAACAGAGAAAAAGAGTCAGGATGCTCACCACTGTGTTACAGAACAAGATCAAAATGTCCAGCAACGAACTGGGAAAGTGGTTAAAGCAGCAAAACAACTTTACATCACTTTGTTGAATTAAAAACAGCTGTGCTATAAACAGAGGGACACTCCAAAAGAGGTTCTAAAGACCAGCAGAATTGGGGTACTTTCTACCTTTTTTCCTTTTGTAGTACTGGGAATTGAACACAGGGCCTTTGCACTAAGCTATATTCCCAGCCCTTTTTCAGTTTCTATTTTTTGTACTTTGAGACACTCCCTATGTCACTCAATTGCCTGGGCTGGGCTTGAACTTGGCAATCTAGGCGTGCACCACTACAGCTAGCTTACTTTTTCTTCATTTTTCACTGTTATTCAAATAAGTTTTGCAGCAGTGGCTTTAATATCAGTGTCCTTTTCTTTCTATTTTTTTTTTTTTCTAAGTGAGATACAGAGATTTTCCATAGAGACAGCGCTCTGAGAACTCTTGTGACTGTCATGTATTGCTTATAATCAAACCCACAGAACTCAGTCTACAGTAGCAAACAAGGACCACCACACAGCTGGTCATACAAACTCAAGTGCACCATGAGTCAGCGCTCAGAAGCGCTAGGCTACCTTTTTCAAGGGCGAAGGTTTATCAACACTCAGAACAAGCTCAAGAAAGCATCTGACAAGGCATACAAATGGATACAACTCGCAGAAGAGGACTGGTGGAAAAATCTATTTCGTGTCTACTTCCATGCAACTGGAGCAATGCAATGGGCAGGGGGGTGCTGCCCACTTATAAAGGGCTCCCTGCCAGCACTTTTGGCTTTATTCCTGGACAAACTGCTGCGCTTTGAAGTTACTTACGACAGATCATTTTACTCTCTATGGTATTTCAACTGCTGTTGGAAAAGAGAAATGACGCTGCCTAGTTCTAAACCACACAAGACTTTTAAAATACCCACTTTGAGTTATAGTTTGGGTTAAATGTAGCGCACACCTTCTCAGCGTATAGTTGGTGAGTCTGGAGAAAAGCTACCCGGCTCTCCAGTGGAGACACCGCAATTTCCATGCCTGTACAAAGTTCCCTTGTGCCCCAGTGCAGTCAGCTCCCCATCTTGACTTAAAAACGACTAATCGGGCTGGGGATTTAGCTCAGTGGTTACACCGCCTGTCTTGAAAGCGTAAGGACCCGAGTTCGATCCCCGGTACCCAAAAAAACAAAAACAAAAACGACTAATCATTCTCACTCACTGCCAAATAAAGTATACTGTGTACCCAACCCAACATGTGACAGTGACTTACCTCCCTTTTTTAATCCTATGCTTTTGTATTCTGAAATATGAAAGCTGTCATTAATACTAAGAGCTGTCATTAATCTCTCCATCATAAAATTAGCCTTGAAAGGTATCTCAATTTTGAACAGATGTAAAAAAAACACTCAAATGTACAAATGCCAAGCTAAGAATCTGGATTGAGGCCATTTATAACATCCATTGTTTCCTCTTCTTTCAAATATACATTTAGGCCAGGGATGGTGGTGCATGCCTGTAATTCCAGCACTTTGGAGGCTGAGGCAGGAGGAACGCCGCAGGTTCCAGGCCAGCCTGGGCTACATAATGCGTTCAAAGCCAGCCTTGAACTACACAGTGAGACCCTGTCTCAAAAAACAAAAACACCAACAAACAAACAAAACAAAACAAAACCCCCCAGACATTTAGAATTAACTAAACAAAGAAATCAATTTCTTTTTCAAAATGTTCTTCCAAGGCATAGATCTCCTTTGCCAAATCAGCTACATTATACAGCTGCTGGAAATGAAACTGGTGACCACCACATATAAAGGGTTGGGGCCTGGATGCAAAGGGTAATAACATTCTGAAAAATAAATGGCCTCACCTAAAGCCACAGGGCTGCGCACAAATAGAGAGTGAAGAAAAGAAACCCAATTGAAATGAACTGCTCCTTGAAAGTGGCTATAAAAACGAAGATGTCCAGTGGCCCAGGAAGACTGGACGTCTATGTCTGCAGCACCCACCCCACTTCCTAACTGGCTCTTGATTCACTTGGTCGATTTGCTGTGGGAGCCTGCAGCTGCCTAGTCCAAGACAAAGATGCATCGCCATCATAATAAAAACAGAGCTCTTTGCAGAGTGGGAAAGGGGGCATAATTTGGCTCTAATAACTCATCTTAGACCAATGAATTTTGCTCAAATTTGGTTTTCTCCTACAGATTTGTTAAATGGGAAATCAATGGAAGCAAGGGACAGTACAAGTTTGAAAGACAATGTTTCAAAATGTCAGCTGCTTGGGTTTCGATCTTCCCCACCAGAATCTGCAATGAATGCAATATGCAAGGGGCTTTATGGAATTAAAAGGAAAGACAGCTTGGCAGGGGCCCCTCCTGGCTCAAGGAATCGGCTTTCCTTTTGGCTCTCTGTCCTTGTCCATGCAAGCTCAGCCATTCCGGCCCTGCTGACTCTTTGAGAGGCAGAGTCCTGCTAACGATGCAGAGTGGCAGGGGGGATTCTGCCCACCTGGCATCATTCAGATAATTTGCTCAAACAACAGAAATCCAAACAGCACAAGTGCAGGCTAACTGCTGCCTCCTCTCCAGGGTTTCTGTGAAACCTGCACCATCTTGGACGCTCTCAACTTACAGTGCAGCTCTGAGAGCACATGTAGGTGGAAGGATTCCTCTTCTTCCAAAACAAAATCTGCCCTCGCAAGCTGACTCATAATGATTAAGTAACATTTGTTAATCATATATATGGATCCCAGTTTCCAGGAACACAGCTCCAACTGTCAAGATCTATAAGGGGTCCATTAAATATTAAGTGAACCACCTTTATAATAGGAGAAAAGGTCAAAGTTAATAAAACTGACAGACAGCTCCTATCCCACTGGATTTATACATTATTTAAGCACCAAACACTCCATTCTATGAAACACAGTTTAGATCTGAAAAGACTCTTGAAAAATGTTCACCCAGCCAATGGTTCTAAAACAGCAGAAGGGAGTTCAGAGCGAATCCACAAATTAACATTAAGAACATATCACTCCACAAAATACTGCCATAAGTTTTCAATTACAGATTCTGTAATATTTTCTATAAAAATGTATTTCAATAAACATACTCCTCTCCAAATGTCTGTGGCATGGAAACAACTCCATTTCAAAAAAGCAACTTATCAAAATTCTAATGTGGTTTTCCTATCCAACATCATTTCTCCACTAACCAGCAAGAATAAAATGAAAGAGGAAGAGAAGTAAAACAATCTATTCTTTTAACTTCCACCTTACACCTGAAGGCATGGGAGTCTTATGTGGTGTGTGGGGAAGCTGGGTCTTCCTTGGCCCCAGAGCTGCCATTCCATGGGGACAGCCACTCCAGGTCTGTTCTCTGGAGTAATCAAGAGTATTTCCTTCAGTTATATTGTTGCTATCTATTCATTTCGGTTTTCTCTTTTCCATGAACAACCTAGGATTTCTCTGAGTTCTCAACTTAAGGCCTTTTCTTATCAATTAAATCTACTAATTATCTCTACACCCAGGAAAATTTCAACAACCCATAAAGATATGAGGAAAGAACCAATTTAAAATTAGGAAAACCTTGATTTGCTGAATATTTTTGAAAGCAACGCGTAGTGATGCTGAACATGTGCGAAGCCCTAAATGCAGTGGGGATCAGGGTCCTGGTAACCAGTGCACAGATAAGGGCCTCTGCCTGCCTCCTCTGAGGAAATGTGCTCTGGGTGTGGCTAGCAGAAGAGCTGTATGCTCCCACCCGTCTCTCTTCCCTCTCTAGAAGGCATGCATTTACTTGTTCCAAGAACCCACCGACTCTAACACTGGATTCCTCCAGGGCTCTAAAGGAGTTAGGAGGGTTTGTGGCTTCATCCTAAAGTGGGAATGGAATGTCCCTGTGAAAGTCATAGACTTAACAAGACTTCCTCCCTTAGATAAGAATCTTCCTCAAACAGTCTGAACTACTGGGGTCAAGGGCTGATTAACTTTTAATATAACTAGAATTACAAATAATATATTGAGAATAAACGATATGAAAGAAAATGAGAACAGGATCAAATGTGAAGTTTCTAACTTAAATCTTGGGCTCAAATGAGCAATGATCTGGTTAGTTCTTCCATCAAGCCTCTACCTGCTCCAAAAGAGATAAGAAAGCAAATGCCTTGCAATGGACTCAAGTGTGAGAAGAAGACAGCAAGAAATGCATCCTATCATGTTCGATTGATCACCAACGGGAACAGTGGTGTGGGCTCAAGCCTTGTCCTCCCACACCGGGGTGTGTGCTGCGCCCCCGGGTCCATGCCCCGCACCTCGCCCTGTGCGTCACCTCTCCAGCTATGCCACGGGCTGGGGCCCACTTTTAAGAGAATCTGACATTCAAACATCTCCAGACTTAAAAGCCAGATCAATCAAGATTTGATTCTGGCCTCCATAAAAATCATTATTTCTTTCTCAAGGATTCACCAAAGTCTTCTTTAAGGAGGAGAAGGAGTGCTCGTCTGACCTCAAAGGATGACTCACTTTATTTTTAAAATTCACTTATGAGTACATTTCTAAGAACACTGGCAAGACACAATGGTATTGCCAATAACCAAACCCTAGGGACAAGGAACAGGACAGAACCAAGCTGTAATAAACTGTGGCCAGCTTAGACCAGAGGGCCCACAGGGCAGGCAGGAGAGCAGGGAAACCCACCATTCCCTGCCAGTCACTCTTGGGCAATTTCCCTTCTCCACGCACACAGCTCCTGCCATCCTGGGACGCGGCACCCAAAAGAGGCAGCCGTGTGCTAATTCTGGGTCCAAG